CGATAAATTTTCATAGAAAATATTCGTCCTTTGACAGGATTCGAACCTGCATCCTATACGGAACCGTCATTTACGCTGACGTGCCTTATCCGATCGGCCACAAAGGAGCGTTCGGTAAACAAGGTCGAATTTACTGCTTATAAACTTCAATCTTCCATGAATCTCGTACATTCATAACTGCTCTGGCGTATCAAATGTAAACAAATGACGTCATATATTAAGAAATGGACAAAGTCCGACAATTTATTTATTAAAGACATTTTTTTGTTTAACGTTCTGTTTTTAAAGGACGAACATTTGTTTACATTTGATACGCCAGAGCAGCGTAAATGACGGTTCCGTATAGGATGCAGGTTCGAATCCTGTCAAAGGACGAATATTTTCTATGAAAATTTATCGGACATTCAGGCCGGTAAATGTTATTTAATACTGTTTATCATAAACAGAGCATTTACTTAAATACTTGTATCTATAAAAAACAACGTTAAACATAAAAATGTCTTTAATAAATAAATTGTCGGACTTTGTCCATTTCTTAATATATATATATATATATATATATATATATATATGAAGAAATATAGTCTTAAGATGTGCTATATTTATGAGATAAAGTGCTCAATATCAAAGATAGAGCGTATGTAAATATAAAAGTGAACATAGAAGTTAATTTTAAAGAGGCGACAGTCTGTTTCATGCGAGATGAAATCGTCAGGCCACCTATTATATATATATATATATATATATATATATATATATATATATATATATATATATATATGTATTATATATATATATATATATATATATATATATATATATATATATATATATATATATATATATATATATATATATATATATATATATATATATATATATATATATATATACTATGAACTTTTGGAACAAAAAGAATTTTCTTTTTTATTCCTTATTTTCCCCTTGGTATTGGTTTGTTCATTCAATTGAAAAATACCTAAGGTTTTTTTTAAACGAAATAATTACTTATATTTATAAGATTATATATATATATATATATATATATATATATATATATATATATATATATATATATACACTAACGTATAATTCAGTAGTAATGAAAGACCCATCTTCGACCGGGTCTTTCACTACTGGGAATTTTTGCCGTTCAGTTGAAGCAGTTTAAATTTAAAGTCAGCCCACCCGAAAATCAATATTAGTAACAACATTTGGATGCAACTGAGTCACATCCCCAAATTAACAATTTGAAGGGGGGTGTCCTTGAAAAGACTGTATAATAATAAATATTATTATTGTAATAATTTAAAGTATTTATTTTTATTAAAGTTTTTTTTTTCTTTATGAAGGATATATATCGAAGAACAGATAGTAAATTGTAAAACGTTGCTGAGAGTTATAATAGACAAGAAGTAGTGGAGAGCCATTGTCACCAACATTTTGGACTCAAAACCGGCACTGAAGAATTCTCTTTCAAACAAGAAGAATCATGAAAATTGTGGAAATGCAAAAACAACATCCGATCACACACACACACACACACACACATATATATTTTACACACATATTATATATACATACACATACATATATACACACACACACACACACACACATACATACACATACATACATACATACACACATACATACACACACATACATACACACACATACATAAACACACACATACACACACATACACAAACACACACACACACATACACACATACATACATACATACACACATACATACGCACACATATACATACACATGCACACACAAACATACACACACACGCACACACATGCATACACACAAACATTTTGAGAATTCTAGACATAGAAGATTGGTGATACTAAAAGTGAGTTGGGTTGCAAAGGTACAAACTTTACTTGGCGCTACAATTCCCTATTGGCAAGAAAAAAAAAATGGACTTTATTACAATTCCTCGTTTTTCTACAAATCTCTCATTTCAAATTAGACGGAGAAGAATTCAAAGGTTTTAATTCCAAAAAATCAAACAGAACTGGTAATAATTCCATTTCGAAAATGCGAAAAAGTAAAAGACTTTAATGCAATTTAAACACTGACATAATTGAATTATAAAATCTTTGACAAAAAAAAAAAAAAAAAATAAATAAAATAAAATAACTAAAAGGTTTCGGAAGAGTTTCAAAGCACGGACTTCCGAAAGAAATTAAACTCTGGGGGAATATTTGAATACTGAGAGAAAAAAAAATTAAACTTCGAGTTCCTTGAGGCTATATTTGACATTTGCGAAAAGCATGATTTTTTTTTTCGACATTAAGATGATTTAAGTAAAGGCATAGATAATTTAGCAACTTTTGTTGGTAGATGACTAATTTTCTTCTTCTATGTGCCATGTCTCTTCAAAACGCGGGCGATAATGACTCTCCACAACGTCCTATCATTTTAAAGCTTTTAGTAAGCTTTGGCCTTTCAACAACTCTCCGAGTCCCTTCCGGTCATCCGTTTACCCAAGCTCGCTATATAGGATACTCGCTGCTTTCCGCTGTCTCTCTTGCTTTCAATGTGGACACCTCGGCGTGGTGTAATGGTTAGAAAGCTTGTCTTGCTAGATCAATTACGATTGAGTAGTGAGTTCGATCCTCACTGGGTGCCCCATACTTTCGGCCTTATGCCATATCTAAGCCGGCCTTCAATGCGTACTGCGAGTATTATATTTACCTAATACTCTGTCCTCATCATGTGTCATAAAATTTCATATGTCTCTTTTTGATTCTAAGTATAAGCGTCCTTTTTTCCGTTTTTCTAAGAAAACATACCTCGTTGCTCACATGTTCAGTCCATGGTATTCTCAGCATCCTTCTGTAGAACCACATCTTGGATGCTTGTCTTTTTCTGATTCGAAGTATAAGTGATATAATGGAATATGCATACACCTGAGTTCCCCGTCACTGGAATATGATTGGCTGGTGTCCGTCATAAATACAGACGGACGTGTAGGTATGAGTTTAAGTCTATGAAGACGCCCATTGGACTACGCCATTGGCTATTCTATTGGTCTACACCTATTACCTGCGACTACGACGAGTACCAGTCGATTACTGCTACCGTGCACTACTTGGTTATAGTAGCCAAAACCACTTAGCTACTTCGATCAAATATATCCCTCTCCGGGACATATCAATAAGTGTCCTTTTTGTTTCCATTTTCCTTAAAACTTCATTGTTGCTCACATGCTCAGTCCATGATATTCTCAGCATCCTTCTGTAGGCCTACATTTCTGTTGTCTTACCTTCATCTGTAAGCATGCACTGTCATATAAAAAAGCAAATAGCGCAGCCACTCGAATCCGAAGATGCCAGTCTACTAGAGCGGCTAGCTAATCCCCATTGACGATACCTACTCAGGCACATTTGTGTTTGTTCAACCCCATAGAGCTCACCTCTGGTTTATACTGCAAACTTGCTGAAAAGGCCTTGAGTTACAGTTTCTGGGAGATTCAGGGTGTTCAGTTTCAAAAAGAATCCGATCAAACCCTCGGTCACGATGACTTCTCAAAAATGCTAACAGAACCACCGACGGCTACCAAGGGTTTCGGCTACCCAATTTCATTCACAAGGCTTGGATCAATACGTAGTATTATTTTCAGGAACTTCTCAAAAGGTGGCGCATGCTGAGGTCGCCTCCTCCAGACCGATAATATCAAGGTCACCTTCCTGACAAACCTGACAAACTCGAGTCTTATGGTCAGAAAACGAACGTTCTAATCACTCGGCCACTACCATATAGGACGACTGGTATTATATAAAGATGATTGAGCTTATGCGGGTGAGGGTGGTGATACTGGTCGTGGCGGTGATGATGGTGGTGGCCGGAAAGACACGCATAAATTGACGTTGAAAGTTTAAAAATTAAAATGCGATGAAAGAAGTAAAAGCGAATTGCAATAAGAGAAAGAATGAAAGTACGCTCCGGCCTTCTTCGGGTGGTTGGAATATCGAGCTGAACCCTTTATTTTCGCTCACTGGGGTAGACTGATAACTGACATCCATCAAAAATGGCACGTGGAACTAGAACAGTCCGAATAATGTAAATAATGGACATAACCGTAAGTAAGAAAAATGCATTACGATCTCTGAGAATAAGTGAGGGCCATGAATTAAATTACTTTATAACATCTGATGACCAGACCCCAGATAGTGTCTCTCTGCTTATTCGTTCGTTTGTTTTATATATATATATATATATATATATGTGTGTGTGTGTGTGTGTGTGTGATATATAGTTTTAAGGTGTACTATATTTCAGACATTTGTAACTTATAGTAATGTTTGGCTTTTGGCTATCTCTTCAAATACCTGTTCTACCAACCATTTATACAGGATTGTTAGGTAATTATTCACTGCTTTCAGCTGCCCCTCTTCTCTTCAATATGCCTTGTGAGTGTTGAATTTTCCAAGCCTTCCATCCTGATTGTACGCCCTAGAAATTTCAACTGATTCTAAGTATAAGTGTCGTTTTTGTTTCAATGTTCCTTAAAACTTAATCATTACTAACAGGTTCAGTCCATGGTATGCTCAGTATCCTCCTGTAGAACCACATCTCTTCTGCTCCAAGACTCCTCCTTATTTGTGAGGAAATTCTTCATCATTCACTGTCATAAAGAAGAATTGATATTACATAGTAGTCAAGTTCTCTTTTCTATTTTCTTGTTTCTTAATATTTTGCTTAGCTTTTGGAAGGCACCTTTCGCTATTCCAATATATGCCTCCAGGTTTCTGTCATCTGTCCATACGGATAAACAGATTTTAAATATTAAGCGCTGTTTTCGAGATAATAATGATTTACTGATGCAAGTTCTACTATTTAACCCATATCTGAGGGAGAGAGCGGTTGATTCATACCTTTCCCAAATGTATTTACCCGTAAGTGAACATAAACATGACTGGAATTGGAACTCGGTTCCCAGCCGTTATCCATTACACCAACCGCACATCCAAGCTTTACACCACCTGATTTTCCCAAGCGGTCACCCAGCTCGGTACTGACCAGTCTTAACATTGCTTAACCAGTGATCTTACGAGAACCGGTGTTTCAACGTGATAGGTGAGGAAATTGATCAGAGTTTCCTGCCATATAAGAGGAGTGAGTTCAGAGAAGTTCAGCAATTTTTCTATGCTTCAAACTGCATTTTCCCCTCTCTCTTTTTTTTTAATCATTTCAACCCAAGCAAGATGGGAATGCCACTAGTACGTAGGGGGTTACTGTTATAGAAATTTACCCACGCACGCATGGACTCTCCCAGCTAAAAATAGGAGCAGGTACTGCCTTTTTGAGGGGGAAGCTTCCAGCAGTCAGCTCTGACAGTCGGACCGAACATTTTTGCTGTAACACTCTCGTTTGTATATGTTTGTATTACTGTTAATATATTTGTTTAACGCAATGCCTCTCCGTGTCTTTATTTCTGGCCCTAACAAGGCCACAACAGTTACATAGAGTGAAGGTGAGAGAAAAAAAAACTGTATAGGGGGAATGAGGAAAGGATAAAAGATGAATGGGGTTCAAGACATCAGAAGATGGCGATTGACATTGTATTTAAATTTTTGAAGATTCTAGTTATCAGGGAAGCAAATAAGCAGAATGGAGTTCCACTGGAGGGAAGAGCTAGAAAAGGAACTGTTGGAGTAGTATTGGAGGGTGCATTTAGCTATTTCAACAGTATAAGTGTGGGACCTATATGCCAATCTAGTAGCACGCTTAAATTCATGTATTCAGGGTCCCAGGAAAAAAAAAAGCTCGTCAGAGCAATTGCCATGAAAATATTTCTAGAAAAACCAGGGGAAAGTGAGAAAGTGACTGAAGTCGAGATGCCAGGTCAGGATCGATTACATTGCAGATCCTTCTTTTGGGTTTTGTCAAGAATCGCGAGATTATAAAACAGGAGAACCAGACCAACAGTATTCAATGCACGAACGAATGGTCGAGTTGTAAATGTGCAAGATGGAATCTGACAAGAAAAGCTTCCTGGCAAGACACAGTGACCCAAATGTCCTTGCAGTAGATGCAGCTATTGATTCTATATAGTTGCTACATTTCCTATCAGTGGAAAAACATGAGACCAAGAAGGCGTAGTGTGTTGCTCTTCTGGAGTTTAGCGGTCTTATTGGTAGTTAAATGAAAACAGTTTTGCCGACGTTAAAACTTAGCAGCCATTTTCAGCCCTAGTTAAACACTGATTGGAAATCATTTTCAAGAGTAGCTGCCAGGTTTAGTATTGAGCCGGGAGAAAATGGTAGTGCCATCTGCATAAATAACTATTTCGGAACTGATGATATCGAAGAGATTATTGATGAAGATTTGTCGGTAGAACCATGTCTCTTCTTCTGTGAGATTGTCCAACATTCGCTATCATCTAGAATACTGGATTTTACACAGCGTTTTAGTAATCCTCATGCCATTTTCTCATCTTTTAATACAATGTTTTTCAACCCCCTTTTTTTATCTCACGACACACTTGAGCTTCGATGAACTCCATCCAGGAGCAAGGCCTCCGACCGGGAGAATGGTGGTTTTGAGGAGCGTGTGGAACCACATCTTAATTGTTGTTGCTCCCAGCTCCATTCTGACTCAGGGTGGTAGCACCTGTTAGGGTCGCAGCTATGGGAAAATAGTAAACCCCCAATCAAAAACAATGTAAAAAATTGTAACAAAATAAATAATACAAGCAATATAATTTTATAAACAAATTACCAACAGTACATTTTTGGAGCGAAATACATTTTTTTCTGGAAAAGAAGATTACTAATGATTCATTTTTATTGTAAAATGAAAATCAATACATTTTATAGTAAAACTGAAGATATGGTATGAGTTGTCAAAAATAAAGAAAGACAATTTGCTACGACTAATCTCATTTCGGTGGAGTAATGGATAGCGGTTCGGATTGAGGAATCGGAGAGCCGAGTTCGAATTCCAGTAGAATCCATTACATTCACTTACGTGATAATACCCTTGGAAAAGGTATGAATCCTCTTCCTCCCCCCACCCCCAGCTATAGATAAATAGCAGGACAGACCGGGTTCTATAGCCTTGGATGACAACTGGTCTACCGCAGAAAGAAATGGCAACTTAATGCGGGTTAAAATTTGCCTCGTCAGTCATGTATCGAAAGTTACATGATCGCCTAAGTGTGTATCACGCATGGAACATAACTGGCTGAATCTCATTTCTTGGAAAGAGAAACAAGTTTTCACTATTTGTTTGATTTGCTAAAAAAAAGATGCGGCGAAGTAATTATAATTTAATCTTTAAATAATGTCATTATCTTGAATTAATTATAAAGGCTCATTTTTCATATTTAGATTTCAGCATTAAATAACCCACAGCGGTGTTGATATGCCGCTAAACAGGAACAATCAAACCAAACGAAGTACTTGTGCCTATAAAAAAATCTATTGCAGACGAATAATGCTACTATAAATAAGTTGACAGTCTTTTGTTTTTCTTTACAACCACAAATGAAGAGACAAATTGGGAATTGTTACAAAATGAAGACTAGATATTAGAGGTGTTTTTAATTACTGAAAAACACCTCTCTCTGGGCACCATCAGTTGCACGAAACTCAAGACAGTACTCGATTTCTTGTCATGTTCGTTGTAGCATAGCCTCATCAATGGTGGCAATGGCATCAGTGATCTTTTTGCTTTAAATCAATAATATCCAGTATCTTTGTACGATATACGATATCTTTAACATAACGCCATAGAAAGAAATCCGGGGGAATGATATATGGTGAACGAGATGGCCAGGGAATTGGGTCATCTCTTCCAATCCATCGGTTTGGAAATGTTAGGGGTTCATTTAACAGTACCCCTTTCATCAACAGGATATCTGAAATACATAAATGCAATGTGATTAAAAAAAAACTTTGATAATTACTGAGTACATAGAACATATCTTATTAAGATATCTCATCCAGTACCGGGGAGAGAATTTCCGAGGCCCGGCACTCAGATTATTTTGAGGCCAATGTCGGAAAAGGAGAGACTGAGATAAACATAAGTAATAATTTTCATTTCATGAGATTTGTTTGTAGGTCTTGAAGATTGAGAGCTGTTTTTAGAGGTCTCATGAAATAAAAATTATTACCTATGGGATTTTTCTAACTAATTTAATACACCTCTATATTAGGCACCATTAGTCTCACGAAGCCCATCAAGACGGTACACGATTTCTTGCCACGTTCGTTGGAACATAGTCTCCTCAATGGTAAGCAATTACATCAGTATATCTTTTGCTTTAAATCAGTGATGTCCCGTATCTTTGTTCGATATACGATATCTTTAACAAAAACCCCGTAGAAAGAAGTCCAGAGAAATGATATCTGGTGAACGAGTTGGTCGTCCCTTCCATTCCATAGGTCTGGAAATGTTTGATTTAGGAAACCACGAACATGCAGTCCCCCAGTGCGGTGGTACACTATCTTGCTGGGAAATGAGGGTTGATTTTAGATCATATTGTTGTGGTGCCACATCAATTGCCTTGGTAAAATATGACTTGAATTGTAAAGTGACTATGGACACACACACACACACACACACACATGGAGTGAATTTGATTAAAAGGAAAAGTTTTTGTATTAGTAGTAGCAGTAATATGGTTGACTATTATTTGAATAACATACAAACAGGGGTAAATTAATATAAGTATTTTCCCTATTAATTATACTAGTAACCCCAGTTGCCAGCAAAAGGAAGAGACGCAGGTGCGAACAACGAATTGGTGACAACTGCAAAAGTTCAAATATCTACGAAATGTTGGGGGCGGAAAATGTGACACTGAAATCCGAAGAAACTTTGGAATAGAGAAAGATGCCTTTCAAATGCAAAGAAAAGTATTAAGAAACAGGAAAATTTTGTTAGAAGCAGAAATGTAATATATAGAGTGTCCATAAAGTCTCTTTACAATTTAAAAAAATAATTACAAAAGCAAATGAAGAGACAAATATGTGGAAATGTTTACAAAATGAGGATTAGATATTGAAGGTTTTTTTTAAAGCTAATTTAATACACATCTCTATGGGCGCCATTAGTTGTACGAAGAACATGAAGACGGTACTCGATTTCTTGCCATGTTCGCTGTAACACAGCCTCATCAATGATGACAATGGCATCAGTGATCTTTTGTTTTAGATCAGTGATGTCCCGTATCTTAGTTCGATATACGATATCTTTAACATAACCCCATAGAAAGAAATTCAGGGGAGTGATATCTGATGAACGAGGTGGCCATGGGAATTGGGTCATCTCTTACAATACACCGGTCTGGAAATGTTAGGGGATTCATTTAACAGTACCTCTTTCATCATCATTCCTGAAATACTCAAATGCAACGTGATTAAAAACTTTGATAACTACTAAGTACATAGAAGAAATTAAGATATCAGTTGCCTTTTTGTAAATCTGACCCGACAGTCATGTATCGAAAGATACATGATCTCCTAAACTCCTATCACGCATGGCACAAAACTGACTGACCGATTTTCCATTCGAATCCATTACATTCACTTACATGCTAATAACCTTAGAAAAGGCATGAATCCTCTTCTCCCCCCCTCCCAGTTATGAGTAAATATCAGGACAGACCGGTTTCTATAGCCTTTGATAGCAACTGGTCTACCGTAGAAAGAAATGGCAACCTAATGCGGGAAAAAATTTATCTTGTCAGTCATGTATCGAAAGATACATGATCGCCTAAGCGTGTATCAGGAATGGCACATAACTGACTGACTTTCCAGTCGAATCCATTACATTTACTTACTTGCTAATATCTTTGGGAAAGGTATTAATTCTCTTCTCCACTCACATCACGCCTACGAATCTCTCATGGCACACGTAAGATCCACTCATTGCACACATAATATCCTTTCACGGTACGCCTACGATGCTCTCGCAACACACCTACGTTCCACCCATATCACGCCTGCAAACCTCACACGGCACACCTAACATCCTCTCACGGTACATCTACGAACCTCCTACGGCGCACCTAAGCTCCTCTCACGGCATACCTACGTTCCTCTCATGGCACAGTTGAAAA